ATGGATGGAGCCAAATACAGGACCATTCTGGAATAAAACCTGTTGGAGTCTGCAAAGGACCTGAGACTGGGACGGAGATTTATCTTCCAACAGGACAATGATCCAAAACATACTGTAAAGCCAAATCTACAATGGAATGGTTCACAAATAGACGTATCCAGGTGTTAGAATGGCCAAGTCAAAGTCCAGACCTGAATCCAATCAACAATCTGTGGAAAGAGCTGAAGACTGCTGTTCACAAACGCTCTCCATCCAGCCTCACTGAGCTCGAGCTGTTTTGCAAGGAAGAATGGGAAAGAATTCCAGTCTCTCGATGTGCAAAACTGATAGACATACCCCAAGCCACTTGCAGCTGTAATTGCAGCAAAAGGTGGCGCTACAAGGTATTAGCGCAAGGGGGGCGAATAATATTGCACGCCCCACTTTTCAGTTTTTTATTTGTTAATTTTTTTTAAATTATCCAATAAATTTTGTTCCACTTCACGATTGTGTCCCACTTGTTGTTGATTCTTGACAAAAAATTAGTTTTTTATATCTTCATGTCTGAAGGCTGAAATGTGGCGAAATGTTGAAAGGTTTACTGTATACTGTAAAAAACTGATCAAATGTGAGGTAATCCACTGTTTTTATTGCAATAATAATAATAATAATAGGGGCTGGTGCTATGAGACTTGGGTGGCATCTCTGATTGCCACCCCCCTGACCCAGAAATGGATTAAAGGGTAGAAAATGGATGGATGGATGGAATAATAATAATAAAAATATATCATACTTATAAAGTGCTTTTTTGGACACTCAAAGATGCTTTACAGAAGAATCATAAGGAATAAAAAGGTAAAAATAAACAATTAACATAGGCAGTTTTGAACTGGTGGGTTTTAAGAAGACATTTGAAGTTTTTCTCCAATGGGACAAACACATTTAGTTTTATTCCAAGAAGTTTTGCCTTTTTTTCTTATTCCAAGTCGAGACAATTCTTGCATGTTTTTAAAATAAGATTATTTTGTTCTTTGTCCCGTTGGCCAATCTCATCTTAAAGATATAGAGTATTTTCCCGAAGTTTAGGAAATAACTGCTCTCTCCACTTTTTGAATCGAACTCTCTGGTCTTATTGGACGAGCACACAATTTGGAGGACCAATAGTCTTGATGATCCACCCGGAAGTAGAACATCCTCCCATATACTGTACCTTTAAGGCAAAGTGAAAATCTGCTCAAATTAACATTTTGCCAAATTGTAGACATTTTTTACTCATTTTCCATCACTTTTTGCAGTGTATGTATTAATATAATGTATACGTTTTGAACTTCTTTTTTTCACCGTTTCCTGCTTTATAAATTCTACTTTATCACAGACTCTAGGTCCAATTTAAAACATACAGACAAGACAAAAGAAAATAACAAACAAGCAGTTATGACTTTAAAAGACAGCCGCACCAGTGTCTCCGTGTCTGAGACTAGAGATTTCTGTCAAATGTCCTTCTATCGACTGGGGATTACAGGAGAACTAAACAAGCTAGAAATAAACTTTTTGACTTTTTGTCAACTTTTTGCTGATGAAAAAGTAGACGGTTCAGTTTTTCAGAATACGATTTCATATTTCACATAGTCATAGCACACAATATTCTGTGGGTCTTGAAAATCAGTAATATATTAAAAAAAAACGGCTGGCAGTCCATGAGTTAATGTTGCTGAGACTTTTGCAGTTAAATAAACAACTTGTTAAATAAAACAACTACATGACAGATTTTATATTCTATTTTCATCAAAAATAAACAATACATACTGACATTAGCTGAGAAAAAAGCATAAATCTGTGCGGTGAGCTTTTGTATCAACTTAGTTCCACACCGCAGTTAAAAGCAGAATAAAAAGAGATTGACAGAAACGGTAGAGAGCTTTCACAGGTTCGTTTGATCGATTTAGATTGAAAAATTATATGAATTGTGTGAAAAACGGCAGGTAAAAAGATCTCCAACAGAGAGACTGAGGAATGAAGGACGTCTATAAGAAATATTTGAAATACTGTGGATCAAAGTCAGAGTAAAAGCAACATTTATGACATTCTCTGTGTGCGGCTGACATGAAGTAAACAAGTCGTTCTCCACCGAAACAAAAGCTTCTGAATCGTCCAAAGTGACTGAGTGTGAGTTTGAGAGGCTTTCTTTGTGTCCAGCCTCTCTCTGCAATTAAGTGGCCATTGTCAAAGAAAGTACAGCGGCTTTAGACGACAAACAACTATACATTTGTGAAAGTAAAATGCAGCAAAAAGAGCTATTTTCTTCCCATGGAGCTGAAAATTATGACAACGTCTGTGTTTTTTGAAACGCGGGAAAAGTCCACATGATAAGACGCCAAAACCAAAATAACAGACATTTTCTTTCCTCAATTTGGATTTTTGAACAGTTTTGCACTATTTTTATGTCGTCGTTAGAAGAAAGTGAGGATGGACAAAGAAAGGGATTCAACACAAAAAGCCAAGTCAAAACAAACTTATGGGAGCGTTTTTGCTACAAAAGGTGATGGTGGAAGTTTGTACAATGAACCACATGTTAAAACCCAAACTAGCATTAAAGAAGAAAGATTACGTATTTTTACGGCCGTCGCAAATTATAATGAAACTATTAACTTTGTCTGTTCATGTGTTAGAATGGGAGATAATGTCTTTAGTAGAAAACAAACGGTGAGACAGGAAAGTTATGATATCAGACTGCATTTCTACATGCTGCCACCAGAGGGAGATTGTCTCTTTTTTCCCCCCAATGTAATGAGAGATTCCGATTTTTGTTTTAAAAAGCAGAAAACTACACTGGGTTTCAGGTTGTGTTCATGCGATCTCGGAAGATCGGGCCTTCCCGCTCTGGAAAATGGGAATAAATGAACTCTGCTCAAGTTGGAAATTTAACTCTGGAATTTTAGGTCCCAGAATTCCTGAGTTTATGTCACTGTGACACGTGTCAGATAAAATAAACATTCTTGAAGGCAAATTTAATTTGTGAATTCATGAGCACATATGAAAGATTATTATGTATTTCAGCACAACACAGTGGCTGAGTCGTTAGCACTCTCTGCAAGAAGGTTCTGGGTTTGAAACCCAGTCGGAACAGGGCTTTTCTGAGTGGAGTTTACACTGTGTCTGCGTGGGTTTCCTCAGGGTGCTCCGGTTTTCAGCTACCACTAAATATGTGTTGTGTGTGTGTGTGTGTGTCTGTGTTTTTGTGTATGTTTGAGTGTGTGTGTGCGTTTGTATGTATGTGTATGTGTGTGTGTGTGTGAGCGTATGTATGTGTGTGTGTGTGCGTTTGTGCTTTTGTGTGTGTGTGTGTGCGTATGTGTGCTTTTGTGTGTGTGTGTGTGCGTATGTGTGTTTGTTTGTGGGTGTGTGTCACCAGCTCCTCATGTGTAACATTAACAGTGATCTCAGAGTTTCACGCAAACGCAGCATTAGTTCCATGTTTGTTGCTGATGTAGCCTGGATGGATTTAAAAACAACCCCAGGTCTGTGTATCAGTCTGCCTCTTATGGACCAATGGCTCTGTGTGTGTTTTCTGCTGCATTGTCTGTGTTTGACCGGTCCGAGATAAAAAAATACATATATACAAAAATAAAATACATTGAATTGAACCAATATTATTACATTGTTAAAAAAGAGAAAAGTTCAATTTAGCATCATATTGTAAAACTTAAGCATATTTTCCAGCTGTGAAACCATCTCTACAAGTCCTGACATTACTTCAGTCCTAAAACAAAACGTGGATTGATTTGTTAAAGTTGTTGATTGTGGCTGAGGAGAGTTTTTGAGGAAGGCGTGAGTTCATTTAGTTTAAAAGACATTAACTGAAGCGAGAGGAAGCGGCGCGGGAGTCGGAGACTTAATGAAAGTGTGTTTGCCCCGAGGTTAAAAACAACTATTAACAAAAGCAGAGGAAAAAGAGCAGGAAACGGCACCATCGCAGCTCCAGGGCTGGACTAAAAGTTTCATCAAAGAGAATAAATCAATTAGGTTGATTTGATTCCAACCAATCAGAGACGACTTTGGAAATGACTCAGATTTTAATTGAATTGGACCCAGTTTGTGGCTTTAACTTGTTTATGTTGAAATATTTCCCAGCAGCCGATGAGCCAGATCCTGTCAGGCTTCTGAGGCTAAGCAGGGCAGGGCCTGGTTAGTGCTGTGATGGGAGACCTCTGGGAACAGCAGGTGCCACAGTGGGGTGGCTGTAAAGTGCCAAACTGTGGTTTTGCCCTTAGGCAAGACACTTCCCCCACATCAGAATGAGTCTGGTGTGTGTGTGAATGGTCGGATGATGGCACAGACTGGTTGCCTCGCTTCTGTCAGTATGTCCCAGGGCAGATATGGCTAAGGCTTGAGTGTCCAAAAAGTGCTAAATTAAACTAATGAATTATTTTCATTATGCACAAACTGAGCCAAATGCAGCTGCTTTGCTGACACAGACTAGTCATTGAGGCTTGAAATACTTTCAAAATCTGTCATCCAGCCAATTCCAGCTCTGCCAATGTCAAAGTGTCAAACTGGTTCCAGAAAGCATTGGGTGGTTGCAGGTTTTACACCACTTTTACATTCTCTGTATGTATCTGTGCTGGCATGAACTGAACAAGCCTTTTTCAACCAAAATTTCCTTCTAAATTAATAATAAAATTGAAAGCTGGTGAGAAAGTAAACATTGGTCATTCAGCCAGAATCAGCTCGGATGTCTGTTGACTCCTTTACTAAAAAGTTTGGGCACCCCTATATTAGTGTGAAAGGGGCAAAAACATTTTCAGGTCTGCTTTGGATGAAAAAGAAACCATACATTTCCATAAATCTGCACTGGAGACAAACACACATCATTCATTTGAAATCCAAAAAAATCCAACTCTATCAAACTGAACCCGAAACAGAGAGAACATAAAACCTCGGGCTCGTTCTGTTCGTGTGCAGTGAAAATGACAGTGGACGCCAGTGAACTGCGGTCCAATCAAACCCACTGACTCGTCTGATCAAATTACCCCCGTGTGCTGCCTCCGGGGCCAGGGCTCAGCTGTGGAGGGCTCCCCAGAATCAGTGCCTGAGTCTAGGAGAGCGAGAGAGGAGCGCGGCCTCCTGTCTGCTCCACTGACCCGGAACCTGGTCCTCCGCCACTCACCCTGACAAAGATGTCTGTTTACTGCTGGATTTTCAGGTTTTTCGGCAAAGAATAGAGGTCTATAAAGGAAAATAATTTTCAGTTTTCTTTGTGATAATCCGGGGAATGGTAGGTCAACTCGAAACTTAACTAACTTAATCTTTAGTTTTAAAATAGTCAAAAACAGAAGAAGTTCAAGCTGGTGTCGCACTTTCTCAACTCAAGTTTCAGCCACATTATTACAGTTTTACAACTTTTAAAGGCCAGGAGGAAGGTTATCATATAGAGAATTGGACGACTAAAAAGAGAATGTGGTAAAAGATGTCAAAACTTTATCTTTATCCAACTTAAACTACATTCTCACAATGACAATTATACTAGAAAAGAGTAGAGCAAAAAGGTAGAACTAAAACGAAGCAAAGATTTCCCCATATACACACTTATTCCAATTTTGTGCAATATTTTGTACTATGGTCTGGATTTGCTCCTTTGACTTCGTTAACAGGTGGGAGGGGTTAACTCCTTTTGCAGATTGAAACCATTGGATCTGAATTTACTGTCCGGAATGTAATGAGCCCAAGTGAGTGAGGCCTTTAGCATTTAGCCTAGCTTTAGCATGTAGCCTAGCTTTAGCCAACTCCTTTGCCACTAACGGAGCCCGTGGGGAGTGGAGCCACAACATCTTTGCTTCAATGACATTTACTAAACATTCCTCTTGCTCCGGCTTCAGTTTCTTGATGTTTGGATTGAACCAGAACAGATTATTTTACTATCGCATTCTCCGACAAACTACAGCCAGCAAATTCAGCTCAAACTCTTGACGTCACCAACACCGACCTACAACACCCGCCTCCCCCGCTCTCTGATTGGTCGGAGGGGATTCAACCGAGGAAACTGCAGCCACTAGGATCAGACCCAGACGTACATGTAGGAAATGATCACGGACCAGAGTTTACACATGGTAAGAACCAGACGTACATGTAGGAAATGATCACGGACCAGAGTTTACACATGGTAAGAACCAGACGTACATGTAGGAAATGATCACGGACCAGAGTTTACACATGGTAAGACCCAGACGTACATGTGATCTGGAAATGATTTACACATGGGACCAGAGTTTACACATGGTAAGAACCAGACGTACATGGTGTAGGAAATGATCACGGACCAGAGTTTACACATGGTAAGACCCAGACGTACATGTAGGAAATGATCAGGACCAGAGTTTACACATGGTAAGACCCAGACGTACATGTAGGAAATGAAATCATGGACCAGAGTTTTCACATGGTAAGACCAGGCTTCTCGTTCAGTCTTTTGTTAGTACTTTTTTTGACCGATGTACCATAAAACCAGAAACATACTAAAACAGCAGAGTTTTCCAGCAAAGGAAGGTCTCAAAATCTACAGAAATCTTTCAAATCCACAGAAAACCAGCTCAATAACACACATAGAAAACACAATCATGCAACATTCTGCTTCCCCAACAAGCCCAAACAAAGTATATGTGTTTTCTTGTCTATAGGGACCTTAATGTATGGATTAAAAGAGTATTCAATGTGGAGGTTCTGACCTGCTCCAGTTTCCAGTGGAACTCTGCGGGTCTGAAGGAGTCGGCTCGGCTGAAGTCTGTCCGCAGCAGAAAGACCAGGCGACAGTTGTGGACGTACAGAGAGTAGTGATGGCGGTTCATTTCTAAACCAGAGCAGAGGAAGTGTCAGAGGAAGTGTCAGAGGAAGTGTCAGAGGAAGTGTCAGAGGAAGAGTCAGAGGAAGAGTCAGAGGAAGAGTCAGGGGAAGAGTCAGAGGAAGTGTCAGAGGAAGAGTCAGAGGAAGTGTCAGAGGAAGTGTCAGAGGAAGAGTCAGATGAAGAGTCAGATGAAGAGTCAGATGAAGTGGGGAGGTTTAGGCAAGTTTATTTGTATAGCACCATTCATAGACAAGGAAACTCAAAGTGCTGCAGTTGAACCTGATAAAGTTCATTCAAATCTGCAAAGGGTCTAAAGAGGTAAAACTGTAATAACTTCTGTCTTATTAACATTGTTTGTTTGTTGCTTAAAATAGATGAATAAATAAATTTTATAAAAAAATAAAAATAAAATAAAAAACGGAATAAATGATTAGATACATACATATATAGAAAAAAAATAACTACAGACATTAATAAATAAAAACATAAACACATAAATAAGTACATACACAGTTAAGAAATATGAATACATTAATAATCAGGTTGGGCGCCAAACCCACGGAGGATTTTCTCTTAAAAAGCAGAAAAAACACATTTATACATTCTCTTTGGAGAATTCTGAAACTACTAGAACTCTCAGATCAGTCATTTCAAATCAATGTAAATTTGTTTTACACCAGTTTTACTTAAAATTAAGTCATTTATGAAGTTTTTACCTTTACTCACCTTTCATACGTGTTAAAACTGGTTAAAAAAATTTTAAATACAGAAAAAAAAACGTTTTTTGAAAGGCTAATACTTACTGCTGCATGTAAACAGTGTGTTGCTATGGTAACTAGCACTGGCCAATCAGGAACTAGCACCTAACTGCCAGGGATGTTGGTTGCCAAGCGACCAAAAATGGCTAAATGTAAACAGAGAATAGATTTTAAAACAGCTCTGCTTGTGTCTCTCCATGGCCTCGCACCAAAATAACATTGGTGACATGTTGGTCCCATATGAACCGAGCCGGACTCTGAGGAACACAGGGACTCGACTCTTGCTGGTGCCCAGAGTGAGAACCAAACATGGGGAGGCTGCATTTCAGGTTTATGCTGCTAAAATCTGGAACAGTCTCCCTGAAAATGTGAGAGATGCGTCTACGTTGACAATGTTTAAATCCAGGTTAAAGACTCAACTGAAGGATTTTAGCTCATTACTTAATGCACCATGGTTATTTATTTTTTAATTCCCTCTGTAATTTTAAAGTTTTTATGGTTTTAATTTTTGTGTATTTTTAATGTTCTAATTGTGTTTCTGGTGTTTGTTTTATGTGATGATTTGTGATGTGGACTGTGAAGCGCTTTGTGTTGCACATGTGTATGAAAGGCGCTCAACAAATAAACTTTGATTGATTGATTGAAACAGTAAAATAAACTAGTGACATTGAAATAAATTACATTACAATAAACAGATAAACCTATGAAGACCGCAAAAGTACAAGAACTGAGAAATCACAACCAGAACTAAAAACCGTCAAATTGACTGCTCTAGGAGTTCTAGTGTTATTGTATGGTAGTTTAAAGGAAAACACACTGGAATGAGCCTGGTTTTGTTTTTACACATTCTTCCAAATCTCTAGAGTTTCCATCTGTTCCCAGTTTAGACGGTGGAGAAAAGCAAAACAATAATATCAAACCTTTCATTATTCAAACAGTGACACTCCAGAGCAACAGGGATTTTATCAATATCAAGTCAACCAAGTGATAAAGTTTAAGGTCAGAATCTCCAGATCACTGACCTTTTCTGTCTTGGTTTGAATGTGAAGAATAACAGAGAACATGACATTTTCTCTGCTCAGATTGTTTCTCTGATCTATACACTGCAGCTCCGACTCCCACTGTTCCATTTCTATTCTTAAAACAAAGATTTCAGCTCAAACACATTTGAGGTAACTCTATGACTGCTAACATTCTGAGACTATAGTAGAACATCCCAGAGCAGTCATTTTGGCGGCTCGATTCAATGGAGTTCTGGGAATCAAATTAAAAGTGAGTTTTTAATTAAAAGAGTAATTTACCATTACTCACTTTTAATACACGCTAAAGCTGGTGATTATAACTTCAAATAACAGCAAAACCAGTTTGTTGAGAGGCTAATGCTAAAGGCTAACTAGTGCTAGTAATCAGTGTGTTGCTATGGTAACTAGCACCTGAAAAGTGGTGCCGCCACAGTGGGGCGGCTGCAGCTGTAAAGTGCCAAACTGCCGTTGTGTCCCTAGGCAAGACACTTTACCCCCATTGCCTAGAATGAGTCTGGTGTGTGTGTGAATGGTTGGTGGTGATCAGAGGGGCTGATGGCGCAGACTGGTTGCCTCGCTTCTGTCAGTGTGCCCCAGGGCAGCTGTGGCTACAGTAGTAGTTTATCACCACCGTGTTTGGAGTGAAAGAATAATGACATGTAAAGCGTCTTTGAGTGTCCAGAAAAGCGCTATATAAAACTGATGCATTATTATTATTATTATTAAAAGAATTTAGGTTGAGACACCAGAACCAGACAAGAGACCAGGACCAGAACTGGGACCTTGGAGAAAATTGACTTTTACTGCCATAGAATAAGTCTGTGTAAGCCCTCAGTCGTACAGGGATTAGTCAAAGCAAAGGAAGGTTTCTCACCCATCATCTGTACTTCTTAGCAAGTTTTCCCGACGTTTCGTCCTCAATCCAAAGGACTTCTTCAGGGAATGAATTCTCAGACCGCGCGTTGGATCCTGATACTAACTCATAAACAATCTAAGGTCTGTTTGATGTAGAAGGGAGCATAAAATCTCCAACACGCGGTCTGAGAATTCATTCCCTGAAGAAGTCCTTAGGATTGAGGATGAAACGTCGGGAAAACTTGCTAAGAAGTACAGATGATGGGTGAGGAAGCAAAGGTGACCTTCCTTTGCTCTGCCATAGAATGTTGGTTTCGAAGCGACGGGAAATGGCTACATTTGAAATTACATTATAATAAGGGAGCCGTCAAAATGACTGCTTTGGGAGTTAAAGGAAGAATGAAATTTAACACAATACCAACCAGTGCTTAGTTTGAATAACATTCTGGAACAATCTAAAATTGGATCTGGCACCTTTGTGCGAGATCAAAAAACAAACATTCTATAGTACATAATGCATTAAAGTTAGCGCCTTGACCCTTGACTAGCATTTAGACAAATGAAGGCATTGATACAGGTAGTTTAAATAGTCCTTCTATAGAATAACCTTCTCGGTCACGGTTGGTAAAAAATTAAATAAAATAGCCTATAATAAATTTTCTAATGAGTTTATTCAAAATGTTGCTAAAGTATTTTGCAATAGGACGACTTGCTTCATATTCATTCTCAAAATGAAAGTATCGTTTATATATGCATTCTGGGTAAATGAAACCGGATGCAAAACTGACCAGTCTTGTCGGAGTTACAGAGCAGCGTCTCCTTCTCGGCTCTGAGTCCGGGACTGGGACCGTGTTTCATCCATGTGGCGATGGTGAACTGGTCCGTGAGGTTCTGAGGTACCACCCAGTCCGGGACCTTCGCCGCCTGCCGCCCGTCGAACCGGAAGATGAGGTCGCTGTCTCTGCCGCTGTCCGTCACCAGCAAAGACGTCCAGTTGGTGGCGCCACTGGGAGCCGGGAGGAGGTCGGTGCTACCGGAGGAGGCCCCTGGAGGACACAACAGACCAGGACCATCAGCCCAGAGAGAGACCAGAGAGAGAGACCAGAGAGAGACCAGAGAGAGATCAGAGAGAGAGACCAGAGAGAGATCAGAGAGAGACCAGAGAGAGACCAGAGAGAGAGACCAGAGAGAGATCAGAGAGAGAGACCAGAGAGAGAGACCGAGAGAGAGAGACCAGAGAGAGATCAGAGAGAGAGACCAGAGAGAGAGACCAGAGAGAGACCATAGAGAGACCAGAGAGAGACCAGAGACCATCTAACAATGAAACATGTCAGTCAATTAAGCAGTACAATCCTCTCTACAATTTTGTTTTATTAGAAAAAACTTCTAAGCCTCAATCATAAAGAAAACACAGTGAACATTTAACATAATTCGATTTTTGTGTTTTGAAAGTTAAAGGTCTTCTCTCCTTCAGAATTCCAAGTATCGTCTGAGATTCAGTCAAAGTCGATGTCGTGTGAGACCTTTGCCAGTGGTTAATATGGATCAAAGACGACAATATCCGTCATAACGACCTACAGCATCTGCATAATAATGTCCATTCAGCCGCTATTCCCTCCCCTCCCCTCCCTCCCCTCCCCTCCCCTCCCTCACCCCCCTCCCCTCCCTCACCCCCCTCCTTCATGTCTGTATATGGGGCTTTCACATGATCACTTGTCAATAGCAATCTCCTCACATACGTGGGCTAAAAGGCTCTAACCTTGGCCATGATTGCTTCAGACGCAGACAGATGACACGCCCTAATATGGAATCAATGGCAGATGGACGCCGGATACAGCCATCGATTCAGCGGCGAATGAATCTGACTTTCAGCACGTTGGACACGTTAGTCACTGCTCACGGCGACGCCATCACAACACAAACGAAGACAGGACAAAGTGTAGTGTAATGGTACTGTATGTGTGTGTAGTGTGATGGTACTGTCTGTGTGTGTAGTGTAGTGTAGAGTATGTGTGTTTGTGTGTGTAGTATAGTGCATGTGTGTGTGTGTAACGGTACTGTCTGCGTGTGTAGTGTGATGGTACTGTATGTGTGTGTGTGTAATGGTACTGTATGTGTGTGTAGTGTAGTCCATGTGTGTGTGTGTAACGGTACTGTATGTGTGTGTAGTGTGATGGTACTGTATGTGTGTGTAGTGTAGTGCATGTGTGTGTGTGTAGTGTAGTGTTGTGTATGTGTGTGTAGTATGATGGTACTGTATGTGTGTGTAGTGTGATGGTACTGTATGTCCGTGTAGTGTGATGGTACTGTATGTGTGTGTAGTGTGATGGTACTGTGTGTGTGTGTGTGTAGTGTAGTGCATGTGTGTGTGTGTAACGGTACTGTATGTGTGTGTAGTGTGATGGTACTGTATTTGTGTGTAGTGTTATGGTACAGTATGTGTGTGTAGTGTGATGGTTCTGTGTGTGTGTGTAGTGTAGTGCATGTGTGTGTGTGTGTAACGGTACTGTATGTGTGTGTAGTGTGATGGTCCTGTATGTGTGTGTAGTGTGATGGTACTGTATATGTGTGTGTGTGTACCGGTACTGTATGTGTGTGTGTAACGGTACTGTATGTGTGTATTCTTGGGTTTCATGTGACGTCGGGGCAGTGGCGTGAATTTCAGACGTGGGACAGGAACTAGACGTGACGTACCCTGGCGGTGCAGTCTGCCGGGTTTATACACGGAGATATAGTAGAAGAAGAAGCGCTGTCAAAATGCCATCTTTTTGTGCGGTGTACGCTTGTAGCAACCGCACAAATAGAGAGAAAGACTAGTTTGTTCATGTACCACTACCACTTCTACTACTAACACTGCTCCTACTACTACTACCGCTACCGCTGCCACTGCCACTGCTACTACTACTACTATTACTACTACAACTACCACCACTTCTACTACTACCACTGCTCCTACTACTACTACCACTACCGCTGCCACTACTACTACTACTACTACTACTACTACTACTAGCTCTACAACCACTACCACTTCTACTACTACAACCTGCTGTTCTACATTTGCCATTTGAATTGAACACATCTAAGGGCATAAGATGTTGTTTAAAGTTTGAATAGTAGACTTATAATTAATTAGTTAGTTATATATAAAGTACAATAGTATTTGAACATACAGTACATATAGTATTAGAACAATCGCTACAGATCCAACCCGTGTTCTTACTGATGGGTCTCTCATTGTCGGAGCTGCTACATTTCAAAGGCTTTTATGATCCTCCTCTGCAGTGTCTTTGCTCATTATGTAAAACGATCGCTCTTTAAAAAGGTGATTTGACTTCATTCTGTCCGTATCTGATCGTCATTATGAGGTGAACGAACCAAGACTTTAGCAGTGAACCATGATCACGCTCTGGGGTCGAGATCCATCAGGCTTCATGCATTTAGATGAGAGACAGAACCAGTGTGTGTGTGTGTCCTTGTGTGTGTGTGTGTCCTTGTGTCTGTGTGTGTTCGTGAGTGTGTGATGGATCCATAGACTGTATACTGTATAGATGGACAATGCTAACCCTGAGCTGAAGTTACTCTAACTCTCTCTGACTCCTGTTTAAACTCCTGTAGCTCAGTAACCGTTTGTGTCACACTCATCATTTTGGGTTTTAACAATTTATGGTTCAACCCTCTCTTTGATCCTTATATATTGTGATTTTGCCTTTTTAAATCCAGATAGGGCCCTAATAACTGACCAATCAGGAGAATTCTGTCACCGAATTTGGCTTTAGCTAGCAACCATAGACTGTATATATTAACGGACCTAGTCACGCCTATCTCCGCCGTTCTAACTAATGGGCCAAAAATTGTGCTCTACTGGAGCAATCCAAAATGGCCGCGAGTGGTCCCGCCCACAAGAAAATTGTGAAAAAACGCATCTGCGCATGTGTCAGCCGGCGCAGCTCCATTCATTTGAACGAGAGACTTAAAAAATTCACAGCGACTGAACTAGAGTGGTCCAAAACACTCCCTCAGCATTGACACACATGTGGAACGGAGCTTTGGGCAAAGAGCCAACTTTTGGACCATCCTGTAAAGACGTTTTCCAGAGGTCAGCTAATGCTATATGTTAGCATTGGCTAATTCTTATACCGTTCACTCCCATCGGCCCGGGATGGTATTGCAATATGTCAGCGCACGTCATTTTGGCCACTTTTGAGCCGGGACCCGCCCCCACTGGTAGCAACGCGAGAGGGGACGGACAGGTACTTTGTTATTGTTTTTATATAGTTTGTATTTGTTTTCCCATTGAGCTTTCATGTTGTGTGTATGTGTGTCCTTCTCTGTGTGTAAGTGTCCTTCTGTGTGTGTGTGTGTCCTTATGTGTGTGTGTGTGTGTGAGAGAGGAGTTTTTTTGCCTTTAGAATTCAAACATAATGTCATAATTCAAAAACACTTATAATGTAAAGATTACATAAAATAATAGTAATAATAACAATAGTAATATCAAATAAAAAAAGTAAAAGAAAAAAAGATAAGAAAATGGAGAAATATATGCATAATAATAAATATAATATATATATATAAATAATATTATATTAATTTAATGTAAACATATGTATTAAAAAACATGATTTAAAGGAGGCCCCAGTAAGACTAGCCACCGCACCTCAGGGATTGAGGGTGGTTCTCTTCTTTTCACTTTCTGTCTGAAAAAACTGATTAAAGAAACGACAGAGAACAAAAAAAAACCTGAAAAGAACTAGTTACATTTATTTAGTTCAATGTTGTTTGAAAGTTGTGTATCTCAGGCTTTCAAACCTCTCTGAATGTGATTGAAACTGATCCATTTACACATTTTTCACCCCACCTCGAGGCAAAAAACCTTGTATTCTGAGATATCCACATGTTTTTCCCTCCGTGATCCTAAACCACAGAATTTCCAACCCAAATATGTTCGGGTGATGAGGAGCCGGAGCCGGGGTCCCGCTGCTGCGTGAGCGGAGGGCAGTGGCAGCGGTGTGTGTCCGTCAGATTCATTAGCCACGGCGCCCACAGACCGGGTTTAAGCGGAGAGCGGCTGAATGAGAAGGCAGCGGGAGCTTTGAGGTCTGAAAGGAGAGCACATATCCTCGCCCCGGGACCGGTCTGGCTCCTCCCACGACTTGGTCGGACCACACGAGTTGGAGTTGGTTTTGGATTTGAAATTTGGGTCAAAGCTGCAACAGCAAATACAGGATACAGGGCCTCACAAAAGAAAACAAATACAGCTTGTAATTTTGCACATTTTGTCATGTTTTCAACCAGACCCCAAAGAACACGTGACCCCAAAGAACACGCAACCCAAAAGAACACGGCACTAGCTTCCACAGACTGGTAACATAGACCTCAGTATGCTCAGGAAGAAGAGTTTGCTCTGACCTTTCTTATAGACAGTATTGGCCTGAGCTGACCAGTCCAGTCTGTGGCCCAGGTGGACTCCCAGTCCAGTTTGTGGCCCAGGTGGACTCCCAGTCCGGTCTGTGGTCCAGGTGGACTCCCAGTTCTGTCTATGGTCCAGGTGGACTCCCAGTCCAGTCTGTGGACTCACCGCACAGTTTCTGTAGAGACTTCTCGGAGTAGGTCTCTCGGTCGCAGCCTTTGCCTATGTGGTTGGTCTGCAGCTCCACCGTGGTCCTCACCGACGACAGCGGGCCGCCACACGTCTCCAGGTGCATCTTGGGAAACAGCTGCCTACTGCCCGTGCCCGGTTCATAGTCCACTCTCTTGCTCCAGCCTGGACAGAGAAAGAAGATTCACACTACAGCATTTTCCCATTTATGTGAGTAACAAAAACACTCTGCATCTCCTCGACCGTAATATTTGATTTCACCGTAGTTTCATTTTGAGTGTTTGCTAATCCATACTTTTTGGAGTACAGCACCGTGAACAAAAACACATCTCATTTTCAGGACTGTAATATTTGATACATTAATTTCAAATTCTTTTATGTCTCTCTATGCAGCTTGTATATATGTCCCTAAACTTAAACAGTAAAATCCCATGGTGAAATATGCTGAAATCTCATGTTACAAGGAATAGATAGAGATAATAATATATATATATAGATAATTTATAAATTCATGTGGTTTTGCAGGTCAGGTCTGCAGACACACATAGATATACAGTTTCCTTCACTAGTGCTTAAACAGAAAAACTTAGGCTGAGACTTTTTGCGGAAGGAAATATAGATTAAATCACAAATAATCACAGTGCATTGAAAAGATTAAAGCTATTATGCACTGATTCTCAGATACACTGATACTAATCTGTCATCATTAAAGGGCCCTAATCTGTCATAATAATAAACTGCTCTTTTCCAATACTTCTTTAACTGAAAACAGTAGTTCAGAGATATTTGAATTTCGATGTCCCGCCCTCCACCGTTTCACCAATCAGAAAGTCTGTGATCCGGGCGCTGGAACTCACCGCATGGAGCTAATCTCACTGGTAAAGTACCATGTGGTAAAGTACCATGTGGCACAGAACTAAAAAAGGCCTCGTTATGATTCTCAAATCAATAACGACAAAACAAGGAATAAAACCAGGATTTTTTTCTTTGTGAAAAAGGTGTTGGTTATAGATTTGTTGTTGACAAAACTCTTGTCTATTCAGCTGTTATGGTCCCAGCTGGATTCGTCTGGATATCTAGCAACCTGAGTCAGGGAGAGTGGCAGAGGTCTTGACTCTTATTCACTTGTTACACAGCTGGGTTTGAATTTCCGGCTTGATTCTCCGGTGGATAAATGACGTCTGGACCTCTGCGATGTTAATTGGGCGTCAAACCCGATTCACTCTTTCCCTGCGCCTCAGACGTCAGCCGCTGCTCCCCATGACCTGCTGTGTGTTTACCTCCTGCCTCGCTCTCGGCCTGTGTTTGTTCATGCTTTCTCGCTCTTAAATTGGCTGCATTGGCGCCGCTGCAGCCCCTGCTCCAGCCCCTGCTCCAGCACGGCCTTGTCTTGGGAAACGGAGGAAATAGGTTCAAACAATGAGCTGCGAGAACACGCTGCTCTGCTTTAGACAGAAGCAAAACTGTGGAGGTCTGAGCGGGAGGTGGAGGAGGAGGTAAAGGAGGAGGTGGAGGAGGAGGTAAAGGAGGAGGTGGAGGAGGTGGGGGAGGAGGTGGAGGAGGCAAGAGGAGGTGGAGGAGGTGGAGGAGGAGGCGGTCGAAGTGGAGAAGGAGGTAAAGGAGGAGGTGGAGGAGGAGGCGGTCGAAGTGGAGAAGGAGGTAAAAAGGAGGAGGAGGTGGATGCGGTGGAGGATGGTGGAGGATGCGGTGGAGGAGGAGGTGGAGGATGCGGTGGAGGAAGGATGCGTGGTGGAGGAGGCAGGGTGGCAAAAAACAGCTAGAAGTTTATCTTATTTTGAGCACATTTGGACTGCGATAAAACGAGATATTGGCCGACGGGACAAAGAGCAAAATTATTATTCTTTTAAAAAGATACAAGAAATGTCTCTGATGGAATGATACGGAGAGAGAGAGAGAGAGAGACAGAGAGAGAGAGAGAGAGAGAACAGAGAGACAGAGAGAGAGAAACAGAGAGAGAGAGACAGAAAGAGACAGAGAGACAAGAGAGAGAAGGGAGAGAGACAAACAGAAAGACAGGGAGAGACAGAGAGAGAGAGAAGAGAGAGAGACAGAGAGAAACAGAGACAGAGGGAGACAGAAAGAGAGAGCGAGAGACACAGAGAGACAGAGAGAGAGACAGAGAGAAGAGAGACAGAGAAAGAGAAACAGAGACAGAGGGAAAGGGAGACCGAAAGGGAGACCGAAAGAGAGACAGAGAGAGAGAGTGTGTGTGTGTGTGTGTGTGTGTGTGTGTGTGTGTGTGTGAGAAACAGACTATGTACGCGTGTGTATGTGTGTGTACATATTTATGGAAAAAGAATTCTCACAGCATTTAAAAATCACAAACCATTCACCAAATTATATCATTTTGAAATGTGAAAAAACAGTGTCTGAGGAGGTCTGTGTTGATCTAAACTTTCTCTCACAGAAGGAAAAACCTCTGGACGGCCGGGTGTGTGCCAGACCGCCATTTTTATTCCACATCGCCATGTTTATTCCAGACCGCCATGTTATTCCAGACCGCCAGTGTTTTCCTGCCTAAGCTCTGTTTCCCTGTTGTTTGATGCTGCGGCGCTCTCCGTGGTCCAGAATGCTAAAACCTCACAGTGCGTGTAGTGTCAGGCCGCTGTCATGCATGAAGCAGCACCTCCTCTGCTTTCCCAGGGCCACTGCCGCGCCGCTCCCGGGCTCCCACTAAATAATTCACATGTACTTTAAAAAGACAGGGAGGCAGGGGCGCCACAGCTGTCATTCAAAGATACACACAGGTCTTTGCCGCGCGCCACGTTTAATAAATACTCCGACGGCTACGAGGTCGAGTGTGCGAGAACTAGTGGAAAATCTGAAAGAGATTCTGTCTGCAGAAGGAAGGCACATTTATAAACAGAGAGAGAGGCCAGGCTCAGGCGCCAGGTCAAAACTATAGTGTCCGCCAGGTCTGGACATGGTGATTCCACACTGCTAAAGCTAATTGACAAGGGGAGGGATGGGAGGGAAAGAGAGGGAAGGGAACGAGAGGTGAGGGAAGGAAGAGAGGGAGGAGAGGTATCTAAACCACATACTACAGGTACTTGTAACCCACATTAAGTCCAATACGTCTGAGGTGGAGACAGACTCCTCTCTCTCCAGTCGAAAAGTACTTGTTTATTGCTCAGTGGTGATTATGTGGCACTAATGTCTAATGAGGAGTAGGAGGAAGAGGAGGAAGGGGGAGGAGGAGGATGAGGGGGAGGAGGGAGAGGGAGGAGGGGGAGGGTTAGGGTTAGGACAAGAGTTTCTTCATGTTCCAACTGTGGTCTCATATAAAGGACACTTTGAAAAAATCAGGGCGAGGTGGATCAAGGCTTTCACAGATAAGCGCCCCCTGCAGGCCACCCTAATGAAGCGGAGCAATTTATTCTGTTTTTCTTTCCAAAAAGTCCCAAAATCAAGACTCTTTTGAGAAATATTTGTTAGTGCTCTCTTAGAATTGAGTGTCCCCAATTAAGACTGTTCCAACAACCGTACACCGCACAGGAGGAGAGCCTTTGACTCCAAAACAGACTTTACATGGTTTTCAATGGGAGTAAAACCCCTACAGGCCAGTTTAATGAAACCCAAGAATAACCCCACAAAATGTCACGTACACGTACAGTATTTACCGCTTACACCAAACCCACGGCGCCTGTTTGCTCTGTTTTTTCTGTTATCGTCTCCATTCTCTTTCCCCGTCAGTACCTCACTCCACTTGTCCCCGGAGCAGAGCTGGTGTCCCCCCCCCCCTCACTGCCCTCACTCCCCCCTCCCCCCACACGCCACATACTCACTTAGGATTTATGAATGGAGACAGGGATAAGAGGATGGTGTCAGAGCAGACAGAGCAGATACAACCGTCGTGTCTTCATCTGTGAGACGTATGAGCCAGAGCCGCCTTCACATGCTTTACACAAAGATGGAGGCTACATGTGACATCACAACGTGTCAAAGAGGCGAGAGTTTAACACTGAGGCAGAGGGGAGTCGTACTGTGGAGAGTGTCAAAAGGAAAAAAACCTCTAGTCTTGTGTGTGCTTCGGCTACACTGGAAAAAGAACAAATATATTAAAATAAGTAAAAAACTGCTCTAAATTAAAAAAAAAGATCTGAAATAGGAGAGGAAAGTATGACTTAAGAAAATAATAAAATAAAACTTGCCCAAACGCTTTTAGTTTAAAAACAAACATTTCAATGTTTATTGACTTATTTATTTAACATTTTTGAGACATGTTTCCTTAAAATACAGCATCACAAACTTATTTTATCAAAACAAAAAAAGTCTGAAAATAATTACGAATACTTAAAGGAGCAATATGTAAAAATCTGGCCAAAAGTGGTACTGCAGTCACAGTCAATATTTTGTAGTCCTCTCCCACTCTCCCTGACTCAGGTTGCCAGATTCACACCAAATCCAGCAGCAAACACAGGGAATTATTTTATCAGTTGTTTGTTCCGTCTCCATTCACATGCCATGACAGCCGTGCTAATGCTGAATGAATGTTTTGATCAATGTTTTTTTTATTATTATTATTTGGACATTTGAGATAAAAAAACAAAAACAAAATAAAAGCAATGTAATTATACATAGTTTATGCAAAATAAATAAGAAATTGATGTCCAAAATAGGAGTGGGAAGAATGGATGTTGGAACGTATTTCTTCAGCGTATCAACATCAGGGTTTGCTCAAGAGGATATCACCTTTCAATTTTATTTATTCCCTATTTTTTAGACAAACATGTAAAAGTCCCACATCAAAAGAGACTAACATTATTTTAATTGGGGTACATGTGGTCTTAAATGCTTATTTTTACAATTAAGCTATAATCTGCAAAAAAAAAACGTCTTGACCTTCATCTTTTACCGTTTTTAGAGCAATCTGTCATAGAATGTGATAACATGCAATAAATACAAAAAGACATTGCCCGGGATCAAACCCGGGTTCCTATATCGTAGGCGCACAGCTTAGACCGCTGGACCACCGGTTCTCACAATCAGAAGTATTGTGAAGAACGGACTCAAACTAGAAAATTCTGCATCACACGTGAACTTTTATCAGCTGTCTCAATTGTTCAAAGGCATCCCGATATAAATCCTCGTTTTAGTCTTTGTTTTGTCATTAATGATTTGAGAGTCATAACAAGACCTTTTTTAGTTCTACGCCACATGTTATTTTACCACTGAGATTAATGAGCCGCGCGGAGTTCTGGCAACCCGATCACGGACTTACATGACACTTCCTGATTGGCGAAACGCGGAGGGTAGGACATCAAAATCAAAACAATAACAACTTTTACGGGTCGTAAAACTAATTTTGATAATCAAATATCTCGGCTGAACTACTGTTAATAATAATACTGGTTGCCTCGCTTCTGTCCGTGTGCCCCAGGGAGCTGTGGCTACAGTAGTTTATCACCACCGTGTTTGAAGTAATGAATAAACTAATGCATTAATAATACTAATAATAATAATGCATTAGTTTTATAAAGCGCTTTTGGACACTCATTCACTTCAAACACGGTGGTGATAAACTACTGTAGCCACAGCTGCCCTGGGGCACACGGACAGAAGCGAGGCAACCAGTCTGTGCCATCAGCCCCTCCCACCACCACCAACCATTCACACACACACCAGACTCATGTGGGGGAAGTAAAAGCTTGGTCAGATTTATTTACTAAAAACAACATGAATGATGGTTATTGTTGTAAGTGTTTGTTGCTTGAATGTAGTTTGTCATAAGATTATTTTACTAGTTTTACAATAATAATACTAAAAGTCTGAGCAGTGAGTTCTTAAGTTTGATTTAAAGGAGCAATATGTAATATTTGCATGTCAAGTCATCATTAAATGACCCGAATATTTCAAAAGGCGTTATTAAATCATACTCTTTTCGAATTCATCTTTAACTGATAACAGTAGTTCAGCCGAGATATTTGATTATCAAAATTAGTTTTACGACCCGTAAAAGTTGTTATTGTTTTGATTTTGATGTCCTACCCTCCGCTGTTTCGCCAATCAGGAAGTGTCATGTAAGTCCGTGATCGGGTTGCCAGAACTCCGCGCGGCTCATTAATCTCAGTGGTAAAATAACATGTGGCGTAGAACTAAAAAAGGTCTTGTTATGACTCTCAAATCATTAATGACAAAACAAAGACTAAAACGAGGATTTATATCGGGATGCCTTTGAACAATTGAGACAGCTGATAAAAGTTCACGTGTGATGCAGAATTTTCTAGTTTGAGTCCGTTCTTCACAATACTTCTGATCGTGAGAACCGGTGGTCCAGCGGTCTAAGCTGTGCGCCTACGATATAGGAACCCGGGTTTGATCCCGGGCAATGTCTTTTTGTATTTATTGCATGTTTATCACATTCTATGACAGATTGCTCTAAAAACGGTAAAAGATGAAGGTCAAGACGTTTTTTTGCAGATTATAGCTTAATTGTAAAAATAAGCATTTAAGACCACATGTACCCCAATTAAAATAATGTTAGTCTCTTTTTGATGTGGGACTTTTACATGTTTGTCTAAAAAATAGGGAATAAATAAAATTGAAAGGTGATATCCTCTTGAGCAAACCCTGATGTTGATACGCTGAAGAAATACGTTCCAACATCCATTCTTCCCACTCCTATTTTGGACATCAATTTCTTATTTATTTTGCATAAACTATGTATAATTACATTGCTTTTATTTTGTTTTTGTTTTTTTATCTCAAATGTCCAAATAATAATAATAAAAAAACATTGATCAAAACATTCATTCAGCATTAGCACGGCTGTCATGGCATGTGAATGGAGACGGACAAACAACTGATAAAATAATTCCCTGTGTTTGCTGCTGGATTTGGTGTGAATCTGGCAACCTGAGTCAGGGAGAGTGGGAGAGGACTACAAAATATTGACTGTGACTGCAGTACCACTTTTGGCCAGATTTTTACATATTGCTCCTTTAAGTATTCGTAATTATTTTCAGACTTTTTTTGTTTTGATAAAATAAGTTTGTGATGCTGTATTTTAAGGAAACATTTCTCAAAAATGTTAAATAAATAAGTCAATAAACATTGAAATGTTTGTTTTTAAACTAAAAGCGTTTGGGGCAAGTTTTATTTTATTATTTTCTTAAGTCATACTTTCCTCTCCTATTTCAGATCTTTTTTTTAATTTAGAGCAGTTTTTTACTTATTTTAATATATTTGTTCTTTTTCCAGTGTAGCCGAAGCACACACAAGACTAGAGGTTTTTTTCCTTTTGACACTCTCCACAGTACGACTCTCAGCTCCCCTCTGCCTCAGTGTTAAACTCTCGCCTCTTTGACACGTTGTGATGTCACATGTAGCCTCCATCTTTGTGTAAAGCATGTGAAGGCGGCTCTGGCTCATACGTCTCACAGATGAAGACACGACGGTTGTATCTGCTCTGTCTGCTCTGACACCATCCTCTTATCCCTGTCTCCATTCATAAATCCTAAGTGAGTATGTGGCGTGTGGGGGAGGGGGGAGTGAGGGCAGTGAGGGGGGGGGGGACACCAGCTCTGCTCCGGGGACAAGTGGAGTGAGGTACTGACGGGGAAAGAGAATGGAGACGATAACAGAAAAGAACAGAGCAAACAGGCGCCGTGGGTTTGGTGTAAGCGGTAAATACTGTACGTGTACGTGACATTTTGTGGGTTATTCTTGGGTTTCATTAAACTGGCCTGTAGGGGGTTTTACTCCCATTGAAAACCATGTAAAGTCTGTTTTGGAGTCAAAGGCTCTCCTGTGCGGTGTACGGTTGTTGGAACAGTCTTAATTGGGGACACTCAATTCTAAGAGAGCACTAACAAATATTTCTCAAAAGAGTCTTGATTTTGGGACTTTTTGGAAAGAAAAACAGAATAAATTGCTCCGCTTCATTAGGGTGGCCTGCAGGGGGCGCTTATCTGTGAAAGCCTTGATCCACCTCGCCCTGATTTTTTCAAAGTGTCCTTTATATGAGACCACAGTTGGAACATGAAGAAACTCTTGTCCTAACCCTAACCCTCCCCCTCCTCCCTCTCCCTCCTCCCCCTCATCCTCCTCCTCCCCCTTCCTCCTCTTCCTCCTACTCCTCATTAGACATTAGTGCCACATAATCACCACTGAGCAATAAACAAGTACTTTTCGACTGGAGAGAGAGGAGTCTGTCTCCACCTCAGACGTATTGGACTTAATGTGGGTTACAAGTACCTGTAGTATGTGGTTTAGATACCTCTCCTCCCCTCTCTTCCTTCCCTCACCTCTCGTTCCCTTCCCTCTCTTTCCCTCCCATCCCTCCCCTTGTCAATTAGCTTTAGCAGTGTGGAATCACCATGTCCAGACCTGGCGGACACTATAGTTTTGACCTGGCGCCTGAGCCTGGCCTCTCTCTCTGTTTATAAATGTGCCTTCCTTCTGCAGACAGAATCTCTTCTCAGATTTTCCACTAGTTCTCGCACACTCGACCTCGTAGCCGTCGGAGTATTTATTAAACGTGGCGCGCGGCAAAGACCTGTGTGTATCTTTGAATGACAGCTGTGGCGCCCCCTGCCTCCCTGTCTTTTAAATACATGTGAATTATTTAGTGGGAGCCCGGGAGCGGCGCGGCAGTGGCCCTGGGAAAGCAGAGGAGGTGCTGCTTCATGCATGACAGCGGCCTGACACTACACGCACTGTGAGGTTTTAGCATTCTGGACCACGGAGAGCGCCGCAGCATCAAACAACAGGGAAACAGAGCTTAGGCAGGAAAAACATGGCGGTCTGGAATAACATGGCGGTCTGGAATAAACATGGCGATGTGGAATAAAAATGGCGGTCTGGCACACACCCGGCCGTCCAGAGGTTTTTCCTTCTGTGAGAGAAAGTTTAGATCAACACAGACCTCCTCAGACACTGTTTTTTCACATTTCAAAATGATATAATTTGGTGAATGGTTTGTGATTTTTAAATGCTGTGAGAATTCTTTTTCCATAAATATGTACACACACATACATACACACGCGTACATAGTCTGTTTCTCACACACACACACACACACACACACACACACACACTCTCTCTCTCTGTCTCTCTTTCGGTCTCCCTTTCGGTCTCCCTTTCCCTCTGTCTCTGTTTCTCTTTCTCTGTCTCTCTTCTCTCTGTCTCTCTCTCTGTCTCTCTGTGTCTCTCGCTCTCTCTTTCTGTCTCCCTCTGTCTCTGTTTCTCTCTGTCTCTCTCTCTTCTCTCTCTCTCTGTCTCTCCCTGTCTTTCTGTTTGTCTCTCTCCCTCTCTCTCTCTGTCTCTCTGTCTCTTTCTGTCTCTCTCTCTCTGTTTCTCTCTCTCTGTCTCTCTGTTCTCTCTCTCTCTCTCTCTCTGTCTCTCTCTCTCTCTCTCTCCGTATCATTCCATCAGAGACATTTCTTGTATCTTTTTAAAAGAATAATAATTTTGCTCTTTGTCCCGTCGGCCAATCTCGTTTTATCGCAGTCCAAATGTGCTCAAAATAAGATAAACTTCTAGCTGTTTTTTGCCTTGTGTCTCCTCCTCCTGCCTCCTCCACCTCCTCCTCCACCGCATCCTTCACCTCCACCGCATCCTCCACCTCCTCCTCCACCGCATCCTCCACCGCATCCTCCACCGCATCCTCCACCTCCTCCTCCACCTCCTCCTTTACCTCCTTCTCCACTTCGACCGCCTCCTCCTCCACCTCCTCCTTTACCTCCTTCTCCACTTCGACCGCCTCCTCCTCCACCTCCTCCACCTCCTCTTGCCTCCTCCACCTCCTCCCCCACCTCCTCCACCTCCTCCTTTACCTCCTCCTCCACCTCCTCCTTTACCTCCTCCTCCACCTCCCGCTCAGACCTCCACAGTTTTGCTTCTGTCTAAAGCAGAGCAGCGTGTTCTCGCAGCTCATTGTTTGAACCTATTTCCTCCGTTTCCCAAGACAAGGCCGTGCTGGAGCAGGGGCTGGAGCAGGGGCTGCAGCGGCGCCAATGCAGCCAATTTAAGAGCGAGAAAGCATGAACAAACACAGGCCGAGAGCGAGGCAGGAGGTAAACACACAGCAGGTCATGGGGAGCAGCGGCTGACGTCTGAGGCGCAGGGAAAGAGTGAATCGGGTTTGACGCCCAATTAACATCGCAGAGGTCCAGACGTCATTTATCCACCGGAGAATCAAGCCGGAAATTCAAACCCAGCTGTGTAACAAGTGAATAAGAGTCAAGACCTCTGCCACTCTCCCTGACTCAGGTTGCTAGATATCCAGACGAATCCAGCTGGGACCATAACAGCTGAATAGACAAGAGTTTTGTCAACAACAAATCTATAACCAACACCTTTTTCACAAAGAAAGAAATCCTGGTTTTATTCCTTGTTTTGTCGTTATTGATTTGAGAATCATAACGAGGCCTTTTTTAGTTCTGTGCCACATGGTACTTTACCACATGGTACTTTACCAGTGAGATTAGCTCCATGCGGTGAGTTCCAGCGCCCGGATCACAGACTTTCTGATTGGTGAAACGGTGGAGGGCGGGACATCGAAATTCAAATATCTCTGAACTACTGTTTTCAGTTAAAGAAGTATTGGAAAAGAGCAGTTTATTATTATGACAGATTAGGGCCCTTTAATGATGACAGATTAGTATCAGTGTATCTGAGAATCAGTGCATAATAGCTTTAATCTTTTCAATGCACTGTGATTATTTGTGATTTAATCTATATTTCCTTCCGCAAAAAGTCTCAGCCTAAGTTTTTCTGTTTAAGCACTAGTGAAGGAAACTGTATATCTATGTGTGTCTGCAGACCTGACCTGCAAAACCACATGAATTTATAAATTATCTATATATATATTATTATCTCTATCTATTCCTTGTAACATGAGATTTCAGCATATTTCACCATGGGATTTTACTGTTTAAGTTTAGGGACATATATACAAGCTGCATAGAGAGACATAAAAGAATTTGAAATTAATGTATCAAAATATTACAGTCCTGAAAATGAGATGTGTTTTTGTTCACGGTGCTGTACTCCAAAAAGTATGGATTAGCAAACACTCAAAATGAAACTACGGTGAAATCAAATATTACGGTCGAGGAGATGCAGAGTGTTTTTGTTACTCACATAAATGGGAAAATGCTGTAGTGTGAATCTTCTTTCTCTGTCCAGGCTGGAGCAAGAGAGTGGACTATGAACCGGGCACGGGCAGTAGGCAGCTGTTTCCCAAGATGCACCTGGAGACGTGTGGCGGCCCGCTGTCGTCGGTGAGGACCACGGTGGAGCTGCAGACCAACCACATAGGCAAAGGCTGCGACCGAGAGACCTACTCCGAGAAGTCTCTACAGAAACTGTGCGGTGAGTCCACAGACTGGACTGGGAGTCCACCTGGACCATAGACAGAACTGGGAGTCCACCTGGACCACAGACCGGACTGGGAGTCCACCTGGGCCACAAACTGGACTGGGAGTCCACCTGGGCCACAGACTGGACTGGTCAGCTCAGGCCAATACTGTCTATAAGAAAGGTCAGAGCAAACTCTTCTTCCTGAGCATACTGAGGTCTATGTTACCAGTCTGTGGAAGCTAGTGCCGTGTTCTTTTGGGTTGCGTGTTCTTTGGGGTCACGTGTTCTTTGGGGTCTGGTTGAAAACATGACAAAATGTGCAAAATTACAAGCTGTATTTGTTCTTTTGTGAGGCCCTGTATCCTGTATTTGCTGTTGCAGCTTTGACCCAAATTTCAAATCCAAAACCAACTCCAACTCGTGTGGTCCGACCAAGTCGTGGGAGGAGCCAGACCGGTCCCGGGGCGAGGATATGTGCTCTCCTTTCAGACCTCAAAGCTCCCGCTGCCTTCTCATTCAGCCGCTCTCCGCTTAAACCCGGTCTGTGAGCGCCGTGGCTAATGATCTGACGGACACACACCGCTGCCACTGCCCTCCGCTCACGCAGCAGCGGGACCCCGGCTCCGGCTCCTCATCACCCGAACATATTTGGGTTGGAAATTCTGTGGTTTAGGATCACGGAGGGAAAAACATGTGGATATCTCAGAATACAAGGTTTTTGCCTCGAGGTGGGGTGAAAAATGTGTAAATGGATCAGTTTCAATCACATTCAGAGAGGTTTGAAAGCCTGAGATACACAACTTTCAAACAACATTGAACTAAATAAATGTAACTAGTTCTTTTCAGTTTTTTTTTGTTCTCTGTCGTTTCTTTAATCAGTTTTTTCAGACAGAAAGTGAAAAGAAGAGAACCACCCTCAATCCCTGAGGTGCGGTGGCTAGTCTTACTGGGGCCTCCTTTAAATCATGTTTTTATACATATGTTTACATTAAATTAATATAATATTATTTATATATATATATTATATATTTATTATTATGCATATATTTCTCCATTTTCTTATCTTTTTTTCTTTTACTTTTTTTTATTTGATATTACTATTGTTATTATTACTATTATTTTATGTAATCTTTACATTATAAGTGTTTTTGAATTATGACATTATGTTTGAATTCTAAAGGCAAAAAAACTCCTCTCTCACACACACACACACACATAAGGACACACACACACACAGAAGGACACCTACACACAGAGAAGGACACACATACACACAACATGAAAGCTCAATGGGAAAACAAATACAAACTATATAAAAACAATAACAAAGTACCTGTCCGTCCCCTCTCGCGTTGCTACCAGTGGGGGCGGGTCCCGGCTCAAAAGTGGCCAAAATGACGTGCGCTGACATATTGCAATACCATCCCGGGCCGATGGGAGTGAACGGTATAAGAATTAGCCAATGCTAACATATAGCATTAGCTGACCTCTGGAAAACGTCTTTACAGGATGGTCCAAAAGTTGGCTCTTTGCCCAAAGCTCCGTTCCACATGTGTGTCAATGCTGAGGGAGTGTTTTGGACCACTCTAGTTCAGTCGCTGTGAATTTTTTAAGTCTCTCGTTCAAATGAATGGAGCTGCGCCGGCTGACACATGCGCAGATGCGTTTTTTCACAATTTTCTTGTGGGCGGGACCACTCGCGGCCATTTTGGATTGCTCCAGTAGAGCACAATTTTTGGCCCATTAGTTAGAACGGCGGAGATAGGCGTGACTAGGTCCGTTAATATATACAGTCTATGGTTGCTAGCTAAAGCCAAATTCGGTGACAGAATTCTCCTGATTGGTCAGTTATTAGGGCCCTATCTGGATTTAAAAAGGCAAAATCACAATATATAAGGATCAAAGAGAGGGTTGAACCATAAATTGTTAAAACCCAAAATGATGAGTGTGACACAAACGGTTACTGAGCTACAGGAGTTTAAACAGGAGTCAGAGAGAGTTAGAGTAACTTCAGCTCAGGGTTAGCATTGTCCATCTATACAGTATACAGTCTATGGATCCATCACACACTCACGAACACACACAGACACAAGGACACACACACACACAAGGACACACACACACACTGGTTCTGTCTCTCATCTAAATGCATGAAGCCTGATGGATCTCGACCCCAGAGCGTGATCATGGTTCACTGCTAAAGTCTTGGTTCGTTCACCTCATAATGACGATCAGATACGGACAGAATGAAGTCAAATCACCTTTTTAAAGAGCGATCGTTTTACATAATGAGCAAAGACACTGCAGAGGAGGATCATAAAAGCCTTTGAAATGTAGCAGCTCCGACAATGAGAGACCCATCAGTAAGAACACGGGTTGGATCTGTAGCGATTGTTCTAATACTATATGTACTGTATGTTCAAATACTATTGTACTTTATATATAACTAACTAATTAATTATAAGTCTACTATTCAAACTTTAAACAACATCTTATGCCCTTAGATGTGTCAATTCAAATGGCAAATGTAGAACAGCAGGTTGTAGTAGTAGAAGTGGTAGTGGTTGTAGTGCTAGTAGTAGTAGTAGTAGTAGTAGTAGTAGTAGTGGCAGCGGTAGTGGTAGTAGTAGTAGGAGCAGTGGTAGTAGTAGAAGTGGTGGTAGTTGTAGTAGTAATAGTAGTAGTAGTAGCAGTGGCAGTGGCAGCGGTAGCGGTAGTAGTAGTAGGAGCAGTGTTAGTAGTAGAAGTGGTAGTGGTACATGAACAAACTAGTCTTTCTATTTGTGCGGTTGCTACAAGCGTACACCGCACAAAAAGATGGCATTTTGACAGCGCTTCTTCTTCTACTATATCTCCGTGTATAAACCCGGCAGACTGCACCGCCAGGGTACGTCACGTCTAGTTCCTGTCCCACGTCTGAAATTCACGCCACTGCCCCGACGTCACATGAAACCCAAGAATACACACATACAGTACCGTTACACACACACATACAGTACCGGTACACACACACATATACAGTACCATCACACTACACACACATACAGGACCATCACACTACACACACATACAGTACCGTTACACACACACACACATGCACTACACTACACACACACACAGAACCATCACACTACACACACATACTGTACCATAACACTACACACAAATACAGTACCATCACACTACACACACATACAGTACCGTTACACACACACACATGCACTACACTACACACACACACACAGTACCATCACACTACACACACATACAGTACCATCACACTACACGGACATACAGTACCATCACACTACACACACATACAGTACCATCATACTACACACACATACACAACACTACACTACACACACACACATGCACTACACTACACACACATACAGTACCATCACACTACACACACATACAGTACCGTTACACACACACACATGGACTACACTACACACACATACAGTACCATTACACACACACACATACAGTACCATCACACTACACACGCAGACAGTACCGTTACACACACACACATGCACTATACTACACACACAAACACACATACTC